GCTTCAGGAATGGGGATCCTCGTTCGAGAGCTGGAGAAAGCCACCAACGGAATGAGAGACGAACTGGGGCTGGTACCTTGACTTTGGAGAGAGATTCGCCTCTCCCTTGACACTGGAATGGGAGGAGAAACCACTGCAGACGTCGCAGGTGGAAACGCGCCCACGGAACTATAGCAATGCAGGAGATGAACTTCCCCAGGAGCTGGGAGAGAAGAAACAGGAGCACCTTGGTGAGAGTCAGAACCTTGATGACTAGATCCTGAATGCTGGATAGACGGTCGGGAGACAGGTAGACCTGACCCTGAACAGAGTCTATGACCACTCCAAGGTGCAATATTCTGGTTGTGGGGCTCAGATGACTCTTGTCGAGATTCAGCGTGAACCCGTGATCCTGAAGAGCTTGAATGACACGATGCCTGTCCAAATCTGCTTGTGATATTATAGAAGAAAGGATCAAAATGTCGTCCAGATAACAAACCAAACGAACTGGAACTTCCCGGAGTGACGCTGCCAGAGCTGCCAGAATCTTTGTGAAGGTCCTTGGCGCTGACAAGAGACCAAATGGCATCACCTTGTGCTGAAAATGGGTGTTGGCAAAGGCGAATCTGAGGAATTGTCTGTGTGCCGGGTGAACAGGTACATGCAGATAAGCCTCCTTCAAGTCTATTGACTGCATGAGATCACCTTGCCGGATGCATCCCAGAAGAGATTTGAGGGAATGCATCTTGAAACGGCGATATACTAAATGCTTGTTGAGACGTTTCAAGTTGAGAATCCCCCTCCAACTCCCCGAACTTTTCGGAACTAGAAAGAGAGTCGAGTAAAAGCCGGTCCCGGCTTGGTCCTCCGGAACCCGCTCTATAGCGTCTATTTGCAGGAGATGCTGTATTTCCAAATCTAACAGATGACGCTTGGCCGGTTGGGATGGCCATGGACGATAACCGAAAAGGCTGGGGGGGCTGGAACTGAACTCCAACGATAGACCGTCGGTGACAGTGCGAAGGATCCATGCATCTGATGTGGTGTCTTCCCATTGGTGGTAGAAGGATTGCAGTTTTCCCCCAATAGGAATATGGGGCTGTGAGTCACTTGCCCCGACGGGAGTAACGGGAGGAAGCCGCTCGGAAGGGGCGGTGGAAACTGGACTGGCGTCTACCGCGATCTCGAAAGGAAGCTCGATCCGAAGCTGGTTGGTAGGAATATGATGAGGACCGATGGTAAGATGAGCTGCCGGTTCCCTGGTCACTACGAAAGGACTGTCTTTGGTAAGGAGAAAATCTCCTATCCGGTTGCCTAATAGCAGAGGGCAAAACCTTCTTCTTGTCCCTGTTCTCCACAAGGACAGCGTCAAGCGAAGCTCCAAACAGGGAAGGACTCATATAGGGTGCAGCAATGAGACGCCATTTTGATTTCATGTCAGCCTTCCAATTACGAAGCCAAAGAAGGCGATGAGATGATACGGTGGAGGCCAAAGCACGTGAAGCAAACCTGGCCACGTCTAATGAAGAGTCTGCTGAATATTCAGCCGCTGCAACAATTTTTGCCACATCTTGCTGAAGGCGAGCATTATCCTGAGGCAACCTATCTCGCAGCTGGCGTAGCCAAACTAGAGACGCCCTATTGAAAAAGGAGGCTGAGGTCGCCGCTCAAATGGACCAGGCCGCAGCCTGGTGAGTTTTTCGAAAGGCCATCTCCGCTCTTTTATCTTCAAATTTTAAACCATCACCAACCTCACCGACGAGAACTGAAGAGGAAGTAAGGCCGGCCACAGGTTCATCAACAGTTGGTAGTTGCAGTAATGCATCAAGCTCCGGAGCCGAACAGTACAGCTTCTTGTCAAAGGAATTCGGTCCAGTGAGTGAAGTGGGATGCTCCCACGGCTTCTGGATGACCTGTGCAAAGAGATCTGGGCAAGGCACAAAATCAGAATCAGTTTTAGGCAAGAGAAACAAGTTATCACTAATGGTAGCTTGAGGTTGAGATGAAGACGGCTGGTCAAGTCCAACCCCCATATTAGTAGCAGCTTTAGCTTTACGTAATAGCTGTTTGAACAATGATGGTTTAAACAAACCAGGAAAAGCCGGTTTGTCCGGCAACTCTTCTTCTTCCCTTGACAGTTCGAAATCGTCTAGAATTTCCTCCTCTCGAGCATGCTCCATCATGTGCTCACAGGAAGTATGAGAAGGTGTTGGCTGGAAACTGACAAGGAATATGTGCGCCGCCCTCAAGGGGAAGCATACATCCAGTCTGTTGCAATCCAACCTGGAAAATATGAGAAATGGCTTGAGAAACCAAAGAATTAAAGTCCACAAACTGAGAAGGCGTCTGACCCTCCTCTGGATGAAGCCCAGCTGCTGTAGGCGTAAACGTGGCTTCTGGCACAGGACGAGGCACTGGAAAAGCGTGATGAGCTGCAACAGAGGTACATGGTTGTGACTGTTCCATAGGCAGGAGAACTGCATCCTGAGAATCTGAAACCACCTCACAGCGAAAGCCATTTCCCTGGTCAGCCTCAGGAGAGGCCACCTGATCGGATCTGCCTTGGTCCCCAGGAGCCTGCACAATAATCTCAGGAGTAAGGGGAATTTGTGCTGCTTTCTGTGCTTTAGAGAAACAACGCTCTAAGGTTCCTCAGATCATATTTGTCCATGGGAGGCTTAGATTTGGCTTTAGAGGCCTTGGAATTTTTTCCCTTGGATCCCTTTGAAGGGACAGTAGGACTAGTGGATGGATCCTGGTCCAGATCAGAGAACAATTCCACATCAGACATGTTGAAATACAGAGTAATTACTCTAATATTATATATATATATATATATATATATATATAGGAGGATCAGATTTCCTTTGATTTGATTCTTTTTAGCTCTTTTCTTAGTTTTGTCTTTTTTGTTTTTTGATGTTTTTTTTATATATATAAAAGATAATAAATTCCAGTAATCAATTAATTCTGATAATTAGAAATATATATAATGAAATGCAGCCAAGGCTCGCTCTCTCTTTTTTCTTTTTTCTTTTTAATTAAGCAATAATAATAATGATGAAATTAATAAGTAATTTGCAATTAGTTGTAATACTTCCCTTCTCTGAAGGTCCCGGAATGAAATGCAGAAAGAAGGTAGGCAGGTAAAACAGACAGCGTCCCAACCTGCAGGAAGAGCCAGGCCAGCAAGATCCCCACTAAAAAACCCAGGCAAAAAGCGCGCCAAGGCAGTTCAAAATGGCGGCGCTAAACTGGCGGTTAAGGCTTCTCCGCACTTCGGCAATCCAAGACAGTCTCGCAGCAGAAAATAATGCCGAAACAAGTGGGGCCGGGATCTCGCAGCCTCAGCGAGGCGCTTCCCGGTTAGCAGAGTGTGCCAGCCGGCAGGGACTCTGCAGCCGCTACAAGCGTTGGTGAGGGCTGCGAGGCGAGACAATAATGCTGTGCCAACAATGCTACGCCCGCGGCTAACAAATTAGCTAAGTAATAGGGCTATCGGCCAGCAACAAAAGTAAATGTAAATGAAAAAAACGCGAGCAGCAATCGGAGCCCCGAATCGCCTACTCACAAGCCCAGCTGACCGAAAGGAACTCCCACGTTGCGCAGCCCTCACAGCAGGAAGAAATTTGGCAAAAAAACTCTAATCTTTAAATATACTTTTTCAAACTTTTAGCAGAGAAAGGCACTCGAGTTTGAACCCTTTCACTGAGTGAAAAAAGACTGATGGGAAACAGGAAGGGACAGCAAGTGCAGCTTCAGAGGGAATGATTGGCACTCAGAGGAACAAATCACGAAGTGAGCTACCCAGAGGGAGAAATGTCTGAGCAGCAAGTCAGGAAATTGACCAGTTTTGGTATAAATCAGAAGATTTGTTTGTGGATAAAGGATTTTCTGACAGATAGGCCACAGTCAGTAAGGATGGGATCTCACTATTCTACTCTGATACTAAACACAGGAGTCCCCCAGGGTTGTGTGCTAAGCCCCTTCCTCTATTTCTTTTATACACATGACTGCATCCCATTGTATAACACCAACACAATTATTAAATTTAAGGGTGACACGACAGTCTTGGGGCTCATTAATAAGAACAATGAGTCTGCTTATAAAAAGGAAGTACAAGGGCTGACATTGTGGTGTAAAGAAAATAATTTTATACTTAACTTAATTTTATACTTAAAATAATCTTATAATTGATATCAGAAGGAAGAGATATGTACATTTACTATTGTACATAAATGAAGAGACGGTGGAGAGGGTTGGTAGTTTTGAATTTCTGGGCATTTATATCTCAGAGGACCTCTCATGGACTATGAATGCTGACATGCTTGTGAAGAAGGCACAGAAGAGGCTATACTTCCTGAGAATGCTCAGGAAGATAAATCTATCTCAGCATCTACTTCTGCTCTACTATCGCAGCACCATTGAGAGTGTCCTGACATACAGCATTCTTGCATGGTATGGGAGCAGCTCTGCAGCGGACATAAAAGCTCTACAGAGAATTATTAAAACTGCCCAGAATATCATCAGGCTCCAGCTATCAGCCCTGGATGACATCTTCGCATCTCGCTGTTTGAGGAAGTTGTACAACATTCTCAGAGACTCTTCCCATCCTGCTTACAATCTTTTTGGACTGTTGCCTTCAGGCAGAAGAACAATTAAAACTTGGACCACACATCTTCTGAATAGTTTTTATCCTAGAACTATAATTGCACTCAACAATGAACTAAAGGGCCACCATCAGTGAGCTGTTGGACAGCATTACTTGGTTTGCTGTGTGGATGCTTGGGTGGTTTAGGAGTGGAGAATTTTTGGTGGGTGGGGGTGTGTCTGGGGATTGTCATGTGTGTTGGGCTTGGTTTCTGGGTGTTATGTGAATTTCGTTGTATGGGTATATTGTGTATATACATACAATGACAATAAACTTTACAATACAATATTACAAAATATATAAATATTGTAGTTAATATTCCTAATTGCGTTGGACTTTTAGGTAATAGATATAATTAAACCACACTGACCTAAACTGTTATTGCTGCTGGTTGGCCATGAAGCTACTCTATCCCTTAATGTTTTCTTTTTACATGGGTCATCCAATTTCACAGAAAGTTCTACTTCTTCCTTCCTGATTTCTCGCACAAGCTGCATACGACATCGTGTGAAATCTTGAAAGGAAATTTTTCCATGTTCATCTGCACCAAGCTGATGCATGATTTCAATCACAGATTCTTCCATGTTCAGTTGGCGACACACCATCAGCAAATCATTCCTAAAGAAAGAAAAAATAAAACCCAAAATAAATTTAATTTAATAAAAAAAATACTAATATGTCCAGTTATTTTAAATATAATAAAGTTAATGAAGGATATTTTTTTTCTCAGTAAGAGATTTTAGAGATAACCAATTTCAATCAGAGCAAAGATGTCTGATTAAAGAAACAAATTTATATACTCCAATATTTTTGCTACAATCAAGATTCTGCCCATCCTATCTCATTTTATTAAAAAGATTTGATGCTTTGTCAAATAAGAAGAAATGATACTATCTCTGAATTCATATGATGGAAGAATAGGGTGGTACAAAACAGAAAAGTATTTTCTGGATTCAAAATGAATATACTTCTCCCGCATCTTCATCCCAGTTTATTAGCTGGAAAAGAAAATACTCTTATCAAGATACTGGCAAATAACACCACAAGTATTTATGTATGATATAGGTACTGTATATGTGAATTTTTTATTTCTCTTAAAGTAGGCTGTGAAGTATTTGAAATACATTTCATGCATCCCCATACAAAAACATTTTGAATATATATAGGACACAAACAAAATAAAAAATTATATTTAAAAAAACAGATTTTAAGTATAACATCAAACTTTTCCCTCTGAAATAATTAAGATTCTGTTTTTCTCTATTATTTTGTGTGCATGTTCCACACTTTTGTGAGAATTGAGCCTACTAATGTAACTTATTCTATAACTAGTTTTTAATTTTTAAATTTTGCATAATATTGTTGAGTGCCTTTGGTATTGAAAAAATAGGTTATGAAATTGTTGAAATAAATCCCTGCAATGCTGGCTACTAGTAATATTTTGAAACATTTATATGAAGCAATTAATATTCTAGCTTCTAATGTTTGCTCCAAGTTTTCCTTCTCATCACTGCTTGCCTGCTTTAGCCATTTATATTCAAATCTGAACAGAAGGAGAAGATGGGGAAAAAATTGTGACTGCTGCAATTCTTCCCACTTCTGTTGCTGGTCACTTGTGGCAAGTAAACTATTAGCACTAGTGATAAAGACTATCAAGGGTTATGGAACAGGCTGCAGACAACCTTCTGGCATGCATATTAGCAGAAGGCCAATAACACTATTGTTACCTTTCTATAGTATATAGAAATAGAATTAGAGTTGGAAGGGACCTTGGAGGTCTTCTAGTCCAACCCCCTGCTTAGGCAGGAAACCCTATAACATTTCAGACAAATGGTTATCCAATCCCTTCTTAAAAACCGCCAGTGTTTTGGTTTTTTTTTGCTGGAGGTAGATTCAAATTCAATGTTTGACAGAAGAAGAAATATATTTGGATGACTGGAAACTGCAACTTAATTATTACAGATGTACACAGAAATGGAAAAACTGAAACTTTCACAATAGCGGAATGGATTGTGAAAGTGCTAGAATTGACAGAAATGATAAAACTGATTTGCTTGGTCAGAGACAAAATAATAAGTACTTTAAGTACAATAAGATTAGAAACGCATTATGGCCTTTCTAATGAAAATGAAAAAAAAGGAAGTAATGACTTATGGATTTGAGAAATTGAATACTTTATTTGGCCAAGTTTGATTAGACACACAAGATAAGTCTAGGACAACTTTGCACAGCCAGCTGACTACTGTCAGCTTGCCAGGGCCAACTCACCATCACCATGTTGCAGCAGGACAACTCCATATGTCCAACTTGCCGTGGGAATAACCCACTACGGGTGGCTGGAGAGAAAGCTGGGAGGGTGAACGAGCAGGTATGTAGAGCAGAGCAGTGGCAGCAGCTGGGGGCTTCCCATTTTCACACTACCTGCCATTGCTGTCGCTGCTGTACCAAGCTCCAGCCAGTTCAGAGTTCGGGCCATTTGGCAGTGGTGGTGGTGAGCGGGTTGAGTAGTGGGGAAATGATGGCAGCTGATCATATCCCATTTTCACACAACCTATTAGGCAGCGGCAGTGTGTCTGAAAACGAGATGTCCAACCACTGCTGGCTCCCCACCACCAACCCCGCCCAGCTGTCACTGCATTACCCACACATTGCCACCACCAAACAGTCCATGGTGGTGGCAGGGGGTATATGAAAATGGCATGTGCCCAGCCACCACCTTATCTCCCACCCCACCCACTGCCGCTGTCCCTGGCTTCTTCAGCCCTTAAGTTGTTTATTGAATTTATTGTTTATTGAATTTATATTCAATATATTAAGTCGTGGCAGTGGCTTGGGTGTGAAAATAGAAAGCTCCTGGCCATTGCTACCACACTGCACTCTGTCCACCTGCTCACTTGCCCGCCTCACTCCCCTGGGCCATCCACAGAGAATTGTCCTCATGGGAGGTTGACTGTGTGGAGTTGTCCTGTTGTGACTTGACAGCGGTAAATTGGCAAAGGCAACTTGGCAACAGTGAGCTGACAGTGTCATGTTGTCCCATTTCAACAAGGAATTTCTTCTGTGCAGAAATTCTCAGTGTACATATAAAACAACAGAATAATTATAGTCATAACCTTTTTCATATTTTCTTTATATTTATTAATTTATATAAAATATGTATATAATATCTGTCTATTTACATGTTTGTGTATATTTGTTTTCAACTTTTAAGAAGGTAGCAGTATCAAAACACTGAATACACATTGCTCTTTACAGAAATAATTCCATATATGAAGTAGCATAGTTGTATTGGCAAAGTTTGAAATAGTCTTTATTTTTTGCAACAGGCCAAGAAAGAAGATTTTCAAATAATATGTTTGTAGTTTGTAGCTATCTGTTTGTAAAATAATTTTCAAGCTTTTCCCTCTATTATCTTTTATATTTATTACTCTGCCTATCAATCTTGAGATTGTCTTGATCCTACATAGCTACATTAATACTTTTTAATTAATATAAATTTATATTTTAATTTAAAATTATTAGTTTATTATTTTCAATAATTTAACATAATAAAGTAATATTAAATTAAGATTAATCTCTTATGAAACCAGGATGAAAGTTGCTTGGTAACTGGTTGTACAGTACATCAGCTATCACGCCTTCTGAAGGACAATCCTTAAATTCAACGATGCCTTAATCTTGCATTTCTTTTAGCATATTATATTTTGAATCAAATAATAAATCCATTATTGACTTCAAAAGTAAGAGCTGGCTAGGTTTAGCTTAATTTTCTGTCTCTGAATAACTGGTCAACAAACCACATCCCAACATGTTTGAGCACCCTGGCTTGGTTGACAAAATTACTGCTATAATTGGCTTCTACTGATGCATATTCAAACTGAACTCCAATGGAAATTTAGAATATGGCATGTCATCAAATCAAATCAAATCAAATCTATATCCACATACCCAACTAGTTTTATGTTCAAGACTATTTGCAATCTTCTTTTGAATGGTGTTTTCAAATAACTCATTCCTTTTCAAAGCTAAACTGACACTGTTAAAGTTTGCGGCTGCAGATGTATTATCAAAATTCTAATTTCTAGAAAATCCCCAGAAACTACATAAGAGCCTCCTCTGTGGTATGAATTACATGAGTATTAACAGCATAAATTACTTATATTTTTATATGTCAGTTTTTAAGTATACAAAGAGTCCTATAGTGCAGACTGGTCACTTTGATTTGTGTGAGGTTGTGGTCATTAAACAGAATGATGCCCAGGCTTTAATGTATTTCTAGTCCTATTTAGAGATAATTGATAAAAAGCAAATGTTCATCAATTTTTTTTACACTATTTCTTAGACAACTTATTTCTTAGACTTGTACAAAGATTCTGTCTTTGCTAGCCATCTTGCCTAAAATACCCAATTACATGATTTTATTTTGCTTTCTGCCATACTTGGAAGAAAAGAGAAAATAAAGGTTTCCCTATACTTTTTCTAACTTCTGTTCCCATTTGTACTGATTTAAACTTATTAGGAAAGCTTCTCAGAGAAAAAGCTTGGCATTTGGCCTAGTATGAAAAGAAAAGAACTCTTTGAACTTATAAAATGGAAGCAATCCAAAATAAAGAAGAGTTCCATTATATTTCAAAGACTTCTACGTAAGGAAATTCAATGGCATACTGTTATCAGTACTACTACATAGTCCAAAAGATTGATTCTTGAATGTCTTTTTATATATTGGACAAATGTTATAGATAGAGAACTTCAAGGATTATGTTTAAGATTGTGGGGGGGAGGATGGAAAACAGTTCATAGGTCAGTATAACAGTACCAGCAGCCTTAATATGTGGGAGGACAGGAAAGAAGATGTAACATCATCTACATTCCCCAACATTTCTCAAGTTTCAGCAATACCTACTAAATCTCATTTGTCTTCTGCAGTAAGAAATGTGTTTCTTAAAATAAGTCCTCCATACACTATACATTTGTATAAAGTCATTGAAACCCTTGTGTCACATAACTTGACCTGCTCTTTTCTGTATTTATGTATTCCTTACTAGAGGTCTCTGCATTCTCTACATACCCTTCAACCCCATTTCAGTTCTTTGCACTGAACTATTTTGTGTTCTCCTACATCATTTAGTTTGACCTCCTGTAGATCAGTATCTCCCTGTAGACCATTCTTCCCAATTTTTAACAGGTACAACAGATTTCTTGCCAGGGATTACTCATCTCAGAAATACCTATATCATGGGTCCTTTATTTGAACATCTATATTTTCGTGAAATGAGACTTCTGCCTTTATTACTCTCTGAACCCATTTGGAAAACATGCAAAATACCTTTGATATCCTGAAAGATATTAGGATCTAGGTTTCTTAAATCAAGATATTTGTTTCCTGTTTTGAAGACTGATAGGCATAATAAAAGGCTGCAATTTGATTCCAAATTATATATAGAATTCATTTTGTGATATAATTCAAATTTAATAATTTTAAATTATAATAATATTTTAAATTAGTTGATTTTTATGCTTGATTTTAAGATTTTCATTTAAGTATGAATTGCCTCAATGCATATGTGACAAAATATACAACTGTAACATGTACAAGTAGTCCTCAACTTATTGAGGAC